GATTGATGGCCCCAGACAGTTCTCCTCTAAATTGTGAGCCAAGGATTCATCAAAGTCAGCAGCCCATATCATCTGCATTTGGATGATTTTGTCAATGAAAATTTCAAAAAAAAAAAAAAAGGAAAGAAGGTTGGGGGGGGTAAAGAAACAGTACATATAATAAGATCAGAAAAATGTGAAAAGGGTTTTACAATCTATGCTTGCAAAAAATGAATAACTTGTGATCTCAAACCATTTCTCATCTAAATAAATCAACTACACTTTTTAGGTGAACATTTTAATTTTATCAGAAATGCATAAATCAATGTTTTCTCATCTAAATAAAAACAATACAATTTTATGAATACATGCTCATCAACCGCTCAAAATTGACCATTAAAAAATAAGATGGAGAAAGTCAAACACATGCAATAAACAGTTATACAACTATAAAGTGTGTTAACACTCCAGTTTGCTAGTCGAACTGCATATCTTAGTACTTTTTAGCAGAAGACAAGTTCCAGCATTAGATATGATTATTTTCTTATATAGCAAAAATTTCTGATGCAAAAAATAATATTTCAAATAATGTTGATCATTTTAAGCAAAAAAGGATCAGTTTTTTCTGATGCAACAGGTATCAGCTGTCATATTGTCATCCTTGTTAGCTTTCTTCATTGGTCACCATTATTCTTTTCCTCCCTTTATTACATTATTCATATCACATAACATGCACAGGACTAAAATTCATGGTACAGGTCATGACTAAATTTATCATTCACCATGAATCATATTGTTGTTAATGCCATCATTATGATTTTTGGACATGCAGAATCCTTAAACCATTATGTTTGTCACATATATAGTTAGTATAGGTTCCCTATGAATCATATTGTTGTTAATGCCATCATTATGATTTTTTGACAAGCAGAATCCTTAAACCATTATGTTTGTCACAAATATAGTTAGTATAGGTTCCCTGAAGGAACAAAACAGCTTTTAGAAGATTGTGAAGAAACAATTAGTAAATGCCTCTCATAATACCAAAAGAATAGGCTAGCATTGGGAAAATGTTTCAAACATTAATCTAAAACAAATTATTGCTAGAAGTCCTCCATATTACTTCAGTAGAAGGCTTAGTACTTGATCTACAGATCATTATAGTCTATAATGTGTAGATTAGAACTAACGTATCAATATTTCCAGTATATATTATGATGCAACTAATATGATGGATTTGGTGGGTAATGTCATCCAGTGACTAAGGGAACAAACCTCCAACATACAAAAGAGCCTTGTTAAAAGATAGCCCTCATCAAAATAGAACCAGCAGCATTGGGAATGCAAAATGGAGACTTTCAGCACCAATATTTGACAAGTGTGCAAACATTTCCCCATCCGTAAGTTCCAAGATATGCCAGAATGCTTGCAACTGCTTCATCACTTGACTTCGCCCTTCCATCTGAAAATTCTTGCGCTGGAGGCATCCACAAAAAAATGTTAGTGAAATAATACAAATTATCTAGCTCAACATATTTTCTAGTCTATAATAGTACAATACCAGTCTCCTTATGAGCATCTCAAAGCACCAAAATGCATCTGCATTATCCTCAAAGAGCACAGCAAAGGAAGACAGCAAGTCACTCATACCTATAACCAAAATCAACCAAAACACTTAATTTACTTGTGATGTTTAATGCTAAAGCTTTAAATTGTGTTGTTAAAATCTTTGTGCCATCAATAAATAGTAGTTGGAGAGCAGAGAAAGGTTTAACCTTGATTTAACCAGTTGCAGGATCAACCCATGCATAGACAGCAAGAATATCAGACATCCTTGCTAGATTTCTTGTGGCCTTGTAGACTTCAAGATGACTATCTGTTCTCACCACATCAACAACTGAAAAAAGAAGAATCCCGTCAGCTGATAGAGAATGAAGGAACATATTTTCACAAAACAGATTATTTAGTTATCTATTCAGTGCAAATTCCAAAGCCATTCAGATACTCTGTCATCATTTGCTACTCCTTTAGATGCGGTTGCATTTGCTGATGGTGTTTTTGAGACATCTGATATTCTTAATCTGTTGACAATTTCTGTTTTATGATCCAGATTACTGGGCTTTGAGACTGATTGGTGCATATCAGAATAACCAACTTGATTTCAGAATTAAAATGATGAGAAAAATTGCTAGATGGTGAAAAAGTATTTGGTTCTATGATTAACTCAGAGTTGTCATTAATTTGGAAACTATGCATACTCTCATCCTCATGTGGAACAAAGTCATTCTCATCTTCTCCACTGTCAAACAAATCTATGACTGGTAGCCGGGGAAAATCAATATATGTTTCAGTTATGAAATGTTGTCTATGTTATTCTCTTCCTACTTTAGGGGAACTGCTGCTGTGTCCAGGGGTAGGCATAAAAGAAGAATAGTCACGTGCTGCACATCAGTACTCACCCTCAAGGTGACAAGATCAGTGGGATCACTAGAAATTTCCCTTTGGCCAGCAAGTGACATGTCTGTACAATTGTTGCTCAAGTCACAAGAATTTTCTATGTTATCAGTACTATCAATGGAAGATTGTCTACTTTTGACAATGGTTTCCGTTTGCCTTTCATCTTTGGAGGATGACCTCATATCCATAACCTTGGATCCTATAGGATAGGCAAGTGACCCAGTTCCAATGCTTGAATGCATTGTTTGACACTGCCTTATGAGATCCTGGTAATGTTCCCTGAATATAGTTTTTTGAAGCTTTTATATAAATAAAAAATCAGTGCCTTGATTTTAGCAAATGCATAACCACAATAAGAAAGTCATTCATAACTACTGCTCAATAATTGCAAATAATAAGTTTTGTGCTCTTGTGAGGAGGGAACAAGAAAAGCTAACTTTTTGAACCAAGACATGATAATAGAGATTCCAAACTGAGAAGAAAGTGCTAGCTTTGTAGATTACATAAGCTCTTAAAGTACATGCTAAGAAAATGATGTTGTCATGATATATCCGGGCAAGATGGGGTAGAGAAGATCAACCACCCCTCTTTCTCCCCTGAGGAACTTATTCCTTCAATATTAATTCCCTGATTCCCACTTCTTTCAACAAAAAGAAAAAAAGAAAAAAAGAAGAAAAAAAAAGAAGAAGAAGAAGAAGAAAATGGAAAAAAGCGTGGATGATAATTGATATTTAACCTTGTTTCAGAGATGAGTGGCATTAGACATATTGAATAAAGGAAATTCAGTTAAGTGCTTGAGGTATGTAACTCAATAAGAAAACATGAGGGAAAAAAGCCTATACCTACGCAATTCTCTCAAATGCTTTTGGTACTCTGCAGTGCTTCACAATGCAAAACAACAAAGCAGAAATTCCCAAACTTCTGCCCTTATAGATGGATCAATGCCCTAACATTAAACAAAATGGTATGAATGTCAATTATAATCAATAATGACTTTCCTTCAGAGGAAGTAGCATGGGAGAAGGAGCTGCTTTTTTGAGAAATTTTAATCAACCAATAATGTTATTTATCTCATGCTAACTTATCAAACTCAGAGAGAAAGGAAACAGCATCACATCACACTGACTGAAATTTGATCAAAGAAATCAAGGCATTCTAAATAAAGCCAACTCCATTACAATCTTAGATTCCTAAAGTATAATATTGCTAGGTAAACATTATAATTTTGAGAAGAGAAATTTGCAACAAAATGATGTGAAAACATGCAATAAAATACCTACTCATTCTGTTGAAAATTTTGGGAAAAGAAAAAACACATACCCCCAAAACAATCAGCTAGAGGGCTTTCTCAAAACCACAAATCTTTCCATCATTATCAAAAAGTGTCTGCCACTTTTCTGGCTTCAGCATTCTGCTTACCTGTGCCGATTAATGACAGAGAGATCTTTACTATTTTATTGAAAATTAATATCACAACCACACCAAACGGAATTACGTTAAGCAAATAAACTAGACCAATTGAACCACGAGGTCACAACTCAACTTATTGAGAAGGAAAGGGGAATAAAAATTTTGTTTAGTATGGTGAAAGATGTAAGAATGAACTTTAGAAAATGTCTAGCAAATTGATAAAACATGAATTTGTACACTTTTGGAGCTGCTTTAAAACTGCATAGATGAACCAGTTATCCTTCAGAACAAATCTTGAATATGAAAAGGGAGAGCTAACTCATTGCTATAAAGCTAAAAAAGTGACGATAGAGTCACTGATAGAGTAGATGATAGTCTTACAGCTATAACAACCTGTATGGATGATTGACATAAGCAAGGCTCTCCAATATCGCAAACTATAGAACCAGCTCTCTGCAAACTCAAGGTCCTAGCTTTTCCACAACTCCATTGCTTCCCCTCTCCCCCACAATACATCACAGTTCACACAAACCTCTACAGCTCCTCTCTCTATCCACAAATATTCAACCTTTGTCAACACCCAATAAAACCCAATTCACATACCAAACTACTGCACAATAGAATCACATTAAACCGCTGTGAATGTGTATTCTCAGAACTACAGCTTAATTTTGCAAAAAATCAGAAATTTTATAAAAGAAGAAAAATTTTGTTTCTAGATGACACGATAAATTCTGTTCTGGATATCAATCCATCTAAAATCCGTCAATAAAAAGATACAAAAACTAAGGCGAAAATGCGAGCTTCATCAGAAACGAATCAAATGCGACATGGAAAAATACGAATTCAATCAGTAGCAGATTTAACTATGGGATTCAATGATGGAACATGATCAGGTGATTCAGATCATTGACCAGAATGCATAAACATGAACGGAATCATCAATGCATGGGCATATGGGGTCAGACGTGCAGAGATTACCTGAAGAGCAAGAAGAAGAAAAGGAGATCTCAGATGGAAAGGAGGAGCTCCAGTCCTCCTCCGTTGCCATTTACGCGCAAACCGCGAATTCTCTTTACCTTTCCGTCTCTTTCACCTGATTTCTTTACAATTTCAAACTTCTCCTTTATTTTAGTTTTTATTT